GCCAACAATCCCATATATCAATGGACAAGACACATGAATAGAACCTCCTCTAAATAAGATAAACAGCTAACAAACATGAAAAAATGCTCATCATCCCTAATTATTAAAGAAATGTAAATCAAAACCACCCTGAGATACTATCTATCCCCAGCGAGAATGGCCCACATCACAAAACTCTAGATGCTGGCATGGATGTAGAGAGAAGGGAACACTTTTACACTGCTGATGAGACTGCAAACTAATACAACCTTTTTGGAAGGAAGTATGGAGAATCCTCTAAGAACTCAAGCTAGACCTCCGATTTGATCCTGCAATCCCATTACTGGGCATCTACCCAGAGGGGAAAAAATCCTTTTATCATAAGGACACTTGCACTAGACTCTTGATTGTGGCTCAATTTACAATTGCCAAAATGTGGAAACAGCCTAAATGCCCACCAACTCAGGAATGGATTAACAAGCTATGGTATATGTATACCATAGAATACTATTCAGCCATTAAAAAAATGGAGATTGTACAGCCTTTGTATTAACGTGGATGGAAGTGGAACACATTATTCTTAGTAAAGCATCACAGGAATGGAGAAGCATGAATCTTATGTTCTCAATTTTGATATGAGGATGATTAATGACAATAACATGGTGGGGGAGGGGAGAGTAGCGAGAGAAAGAAAGGAGGGCTGGCTGGGGGAAAGGAAGAGCAGAGAGTGGGAAGGAGGGAGAGGGGTGGGGTCTTGGTGTGTGCCACACCTTTTGGGGGCAAGACAAGATTGTAAGAGGGACTTTACCTAACAAATGCATCAGTGTAACCTTGTTTCTTGCAACCTCAATGAATCCCCAACAATAAAAAAAATAAAGAAAAAAAAACACAAATGATTTGACTGCCTAAAACAATCTTAGAAGAGAACAAAGTTGGAAGATTTACACAGCATGACTTCAAAATTCACTATAAAGTTATAGTAATGAAGGCAATTTGGTATTGGCATAGGGGCTGGTAAATGTATCAATGATACAGAATAGAAAGCCCCCAAATTGACCTACCCTTACTCAATATTTGATATTTAACAAAGACACCAAAAGAATCCATTAGGGAAGTCTTTTCAACAAATGGCTCAAGAACAACTGGATATCTACATGGAAAAAAACATGAACCTCAACCCTTACCTCGTACCATAAAGATTAATTTGAGATACAACTAAATGTAAAAGCTAAAAACATTAACATTTTCAGAAAATTCTATAACTTTGATTATAGCTTTGTTGCCTGCAGTAGACTAAAGTTTCTTAGGATACAGAAAGCAACAACCATAAAAGAAAACCTTGATGAATTAGACTCTGTCCAAGTGATAGACTTGTGTTCATCAAAAGATTCATTCAGCTGTTCACTATGAAAATGAACAGGCAAGCCACAGACCGGGAGAAAATATTTGTAAAACAGTTATCTGACAAAGACTGGTATTTAGGATATATAAAGAACTCCTATAACTCAGTAACAAAAATACAAGACCTACTTTATAAATGGGCAAGAGATCTGAATAGACATATCTCAAAGAGAAGTACACGAAAAATATCATGTGTTTATTATCATTAGTTACAAGGGAAATATAAATGAAAACCACATTGAGATACTACTGCACTCCACCAGAATGGCTATAATTTAAAAAACTGACAATACCAAGTGTTGCCAAAGATGTGGAACAACCAGAACTGATTCACATACACTGCTGTGGGGAGTGTAAAATGGTATACCACTTTGGGAAAAAGTCTGGCAATTTCTCACGAACTAAATATACACCTTCCTTATAATCCAGCATTCTAATCCTAAGTATTTGCCCAAGTGAAATAAAAACTTACATCCACATAAAAATCTATTCACAAATGTTTAAATGGCTTTACTCCTAATTACCAAAAGTTTAGATTAGAAACAATCCAAATGTCCTTCAGCTGGTGAATGGATAAACAAAACTGGTATATTCATAACATGGAACACCATAAAAAAGAATGAACTATTGCTCTTTGCAACAACATGAGTGAACCTCTTAAAAACATAATTAGTAGGGCAGCGCTTGTGGCTCTGTGGGTAGGGTGCCGGCCCCATATACCGAGGGTGGCAGGTTTGAACCCGGCCCCAGCCAAACTGCAACAAAAAATAGCTGGGCGTTCTGGAAGGTGCCTGTAGTCCCAGCTATGTGGGAGGCTGAGACAGAATCGCCTAAGCCCAAGAGCTGGAGGTTGTGGTGAGCTGTGACACCATGGCACTCTACTGAGGGCGACAAAGTGAGACTCTGTCTCAAAAAAAAAAAAAAAAGCTAAACATAATTAGTAGAAGTCACACGATTCCATGTATATCATGGGGATGAAGAGGCAAGACTAAGGTGGTAAAAACTCAGGACACTGTATGTTGCCCCTGGGGAGGGGGTGAGGGAGGCAATTTATAAGTGTATGAGTTCAACAAAATGCAAATAATAAAGAGTTTTGCACTTCATTATATGTAAATTGTGCCTCAGAAGAAAAGATACAAATATCGAACTCTTTGGGAAAGTATTTTGAAAAGCATCAAAAAGTACAATGGATAAAGGGAAGTCCATTAAAATCTTAATTGTATAAATTTAGTTAATAGCCATAATTACGGTTTACTGTAAAATTCTTACATTTTAAGTTTTGAAAATTTTTTTTTTTTTGAGACAGAGCCTCAAGCTGTCCCCCTGGGTAGAGTGCCGTGGCATTACAGCTCACAGCAACCTCCAACTCCTGGGCTCAAGCGAGTCTCCTGCCTCCGCCTCCCAAGTAGCTGGGACCACAGGCGCCCGCCACAACGCCCGGCTATTTTTTGGTTGCAGCCGTCATTGTTGTTTGGCGGGTCCAGGCTGGGGATTCGAACCCGCCACCTTAGGTGTACGTGGCTGGCGCCTTAGCCGGTTGAGCTATAGGCGCCGAGCCAAGTTTTGAAAATTTTTATAGTAACTATAATTTAATAATAAAATGTTGGAAAAAAAACTAAAACAATGTATGTTTCCGATAGTCACTTTCTCCCAGGACTGCTACTGAATAGCAAGTTGCATCAGCTCTGAGCCACCTCAGGGGTCCTTGGCTGCTGGTATCTACTTCATTGAAACCCTTTCTGTGGTGAGATTTGAAAGCTTTGTCCCACCAATGGAATAGGTTTATTGAGAAACTATAATTTTCTCTCTCTAGAAGAAACTGCTTCGTAGCCATACTTAAATCTATCTTTAGGAATCCTTTATTAAAAGGACTTGTTCTGTAAAATCTGGATTCAGTCAGAAAGATCCAGAAGGTCACACGTGGCCCCAAGGGTCTCCCACCCCATTTGTGTTCTGTGCGGTAAGTTCTGCCTGCTGCTTCCGGAGGAAGGGGCTGTGCTCAGGCCAAAGTGGGGCTCCCTGTCTTAGAGCCTCACAACATGCCTCGGGCTAGTAGACTCTGAGAGTCCTGCTGACTCAGGGCTCCCGTAACCTCAGTCCTCACAGACTTAAGTGTCCTGTAGAAGGTCTGCTTAGGATGAAGCTGCTCTGAGCAGAAGGGTATTATATTGCATTTCTGGAAAAATAAAAATTCCCCAGAGTGCAGTAAAGGATCCTTTTGGGGAGGGCACAGTTCACACAGTGCCAAGTCACTCAGACCCACAAAGGGTCCCATGTCTGCATGCTTCCCCTGTGGCCTTTGTGATTCCTGAGGACAGAGCACATCACAACCTTCACAGCTGCAGGTCTTAAAGAGGGAAGTTTTATGCCCAAAGATGAAAGTGTTTTCTGCACATCTGTAGTCAGGGGAAGAATTTCAGCCCCACAGGACATGCACATCCCAGTAGTGCAAAGTACCCACCCTCAGCAGCTGGTCAGAACGCACTTAAGACCCATTTTCACAGTGGTTTTGGCCTGTGGAAGCCACCAGATGGTGGGCCTGGAGCTGGAAGTCTTTCTCATTATCCACCAGATTCAGCTTGGGTCAGGGCCAGACAACCCCCTGCTTCACAACCACAGCCCCCACATCTGTCTACTCCAGAAGGAACCTTGATTTCTGAGGCTCACATACCTAAATAAAGTAGTATGTTCTATAAAAATATATATTTCAGGGCTGGGCCCAGTGGCTCATCCCTGTATTCCTAACATACTGGGAGGCTGAGGCAGGAGGATCACTTGAGCTCAGGACCTCAAGACCAGCCTGAACAAGAATGAGACCTTGTCTCCACTAAAAATAGAAAAATTAGCTGGGTATGGTAGGCATCTGTAGTCCTATCTACTCAGGAGGCTGAGGCAGGAGGATCTGACTCAATGGCATTCTAACCTGGGGCAATAGAGTAAGACTCTGTCTCAAAAAAACAAACATATATACACATATCTATATGCATGTACATATAGATATGTGTATATACATATAGGGTGGCCATGAAGTTTGTGTGCAGTTTAAAATAGTTTAACATGGGGTGGCGCCTGTGGCTCAAAAGGGTAGGGTGCCAGCCCCATAGGCTGGAGGTGGTGGATTCAAACACAGCCCTGGCCAAAAATACAAAATAGTTTAACATAGTAAAATGCACACCAACTTTATGTCCACTCTGTATAAATTTCATTTTTATTAGAGGAGTTACCAGAGTTTTACCAATAAAAGAAATAGACAGACAGAAAGGGAGGAGCTTTTTCCGTATGTTGAATTTTCTCCCAAGCAACCAAAGTGGACAGTAGAAAGGAGTCTTTTGTGGTGTGCCAGGCTTGTCCTAGATACTAGGCCTGTGACACTTAAACATTTTGTTGCACAGGTCACATGCCAGACCTTCTCATCTCCACAAAGAAGCAGTAAATTCCTTAGATTTGCTTATCCACAGCAACACTCATCACATGGCCTTGCTCAATAAAGACTTGGCTGCCACAAGAACTGATCCCAACATCCATGACTCACACAGCCCTGCAGGTAACAAGATGTGCACAACCCAGGGAGGCATTCTGAGGGCCTTCCAGGAGAGGGAGGAAGTGTGAAATGCAACTACCTCGCTGGCCATGTAGGTGTAGAGGACTTTGCCTTTGATGACAAACCAGAGTTTCTTCCAGTACCGCCTGCCCTTCTTACACCGGCTGAGATAGCCACTGATGACGGAGCCCTCTCCAGAGGCAGCCACCTGGCAGGAGGGAAGCATCAGGTCAGGGCATCAGGTGGTTGGTTCAAACAGAGCCAAAGTGACACTGTAAACCAACCACCTGGCAGACTACTTATACTGCTTGGAAATCTGATACTTGGATGAGTCTCGGGATTCACCTAGTACCAAAGTCAGCAAAATAGAACTTCATGGTTTGAGATACAGGAGTCACTGAATGAACCCAGGAGACACGCCAGTCATTACCACAGTAATAGGATTGTCAGACGGACTTGGAGTAAAACCAAACCTGGGGTCTAAGTCTCAATTTCCTTATTAGCAAAAGAGGACCTAATGATATTAAGGCAGGTACCTGGCAGGTACAGGGCACAACCCACAGTAGATGCTTTGTTAATATTACTGTGATCTTGAATGGCCAGGTTTAGAAATAATTTTGTCTGGATTTCTCATTTTACAGATAGGGAAAAAGAGGCCCAGAGGAATGGAGGATCAGTGAAGGTCATAACCCTGCTTAGCTGAAGAGAGGGTAAAAACTTAAGTCTCTCAGAAATACGCTTGAGTTGAGTGCATTTCAATTTCAGGAAAGGCTGTCCTGATATTAAAACCTACCCAAGACCCCGGACACTGGATATTGGTTTCTCTTGCCACCATCGACCCTGCTGGACCATTTCCGCAGAGTGAGAAAGGCTCAGTGGCAGAAATTCTGCAGACTATCAGAGCAGCAGGTCTTAGCGCTGAGTCAGGGTCCCAGGGGAACAGGCTAGGGTGGAAGGAAACTTGACACTCAGTGAATACAGTCTGTGCTGGTAATAAAAAGGTTGTCACTTTTAGCAAAAATCACCAAGGGACTGTCTGAGGCAGACCCAGGTGGCACCAGGATCAGAGCAGCCTGATCCTAGAAGTGGTTCTCAAATGCTGCACCGTGGAGCAGTCAGCTTCTATGAACTTGACTCGCTCAGACCACCACTAAAAGGACTAATTAAACAAGTGATGGCACAGGTGAGCTTTATGCCTATGAGCAAATATGAAATAATCTCTAAGATAAATTAACTGGAAAAAAACATACAGAAGATTGAGTATGTTATCTTTGGGGTAAAATAGGATCTATGAATGCACATCTGTATTATGTGTATGCATGACCATTTCTGGAAGGATCCATACGCAACTTGAAGGTGGTGGGACTGACAGATGCTGGGGAAGGTGGGAAACCCACTTTTCATCACATGTGCTCTTCGGTGTCTGTGTTACTTCTAAGACTCTTATTTGTGGCTCGGCGCCTGTGGCTCAGGTGGCTAAGGCGCCAGCCACATACACCTAAGGTGGCGGGTTCGAATCCCCAGCCCGGGCCTGCCAAACAACAATGATGGCTGCAACCAAAAAATGGCCGGGCATTGTGGCGGGCGCCTGTGGTCCCAGCTACTTGGGAGGCTGAGGCAGGAGACTCGCTTGAGCCCAGGAGTTGGAGGTTGCTGTGAGTGTGATGCCACGGCACTCTACCCAGGGGGATAGCTTGAGGCTCTATCTCAAAAAAAAAAAAAAAAAGACTCTTATTTGCAAAAAGGATAAATTAATGAATAGGGACTGCGCTCATTTTAAATGCCATTCCTCTGCTTTCTGCAATCCTTGCTACCTGCTACTTGATAATATTCATGGAACAATTTAGAAACAGTTGATCATACTTCTTTGGACAACTTAAAGTATATTCATGGGCATATACTATTCTGAGATTGTGATGAGAAAAAATATATATACAATCTATTCCTATTTGCAGGATGGAACTGAGTTTAGCCAATGTTGAGGTTTCCTGCAGAATCTCATGTCCTCCAGGCGGTCACCACCTAAGCCTGTTTGGGATCCAGAACCGTGAGACAATGGGGCCTCTTAGAGGCCTGAGGCAGGAGAACTACCCCAGGAAGTGGCTCCTTTAGGTGGCAGAGCCCCAGTGACCTGTGCAGCCCCCCTGGGTACTAGGCACAGGCTGGGGGCAGGAGAAAAAGAGAAGAGGAGGGGAGAGGTAGAGGGAAGGATGGGAAAGACGTCTCATAGCATCATCTACAAACATCTCGGGCCTGCCCTCTGCCACCATGCAAGTGTTTCCTCAGCCACACCCAGGAGAGAGACTTGTTCCTAAGGGCTGGCAAGGAGTTTTGGCGGTGAGTCTGACCTCACAGCCAGGAGTGCTCTGTCTGGGGGGGGAAGAGACCAGTCAGGCTGGGCTGGGGATGCGTCTAACCCTTCCTGCTGAGAACTGTGAACCTTCTAATCTCCTGGCTCCCACTCAGGCAGTCCAGTCCGTCTTACCTCAGACAAGGCGGAAGGGACTTTCTTCTGCTTCTTGAAGGTTGAGGGGTTGATGCTGTGGAAGACGGAGGAGAAGGCACTGCCCGAGAAGCGGGGTGCAGATAGGGGGAAGCTCATGCTCACAGGCCGCTCTGTAACCAAGAGACGCGTGGGGAGGGAGGTGAGAACTGCTGTGGCCAGGAATGTAACTGCTCTGAGACACTGATTCCTATAAAATCCCTCCTGGATGTGAGGCAGCCTTACCATGGGGGTTAAGTGGGACCACAAAGAGGGGTACACTCCCTCCTGCTTATACAGGACTATGGGGATGGGGCTATCTAACCTGATGACTCAGTGTGGCCCCGTGGTGGAGGGGAGCGCTCTCGTTTCAGGCCCCAGATACGCCTGCTCTTCTTCGTGCCTGACCCTTCAGCTCCATAGGGGCAAAGCCTGTCCCTTCAGCTCTGAGTCTTGCAGCCTCCTGAGGCTCCTGTGTCAGAGGGTCCTCACTCCTTCCCCAGCCCCCAACACCTCTGCTGTCAGTCTCATACCCTTGGTTCCCAAATGGTGCCACAGAAGACAGGCCTCCAGGACACCTGAGGGCCTCTATAGTAAAGAACCCACAAGTACCCCTGCCTACTCTCTCCCATTCACAGGGACACTGACTCTTAAACTGCCCAGAACCCTTGTGGGAGCACCAATAACTCTTCCACAGAACCAGCATTTTGGAAAATGATGCCTGGTGTGAGTGGGAACTTCCGTTTCCTCAAGGCATGCTTTTGTTTTGAGCCTCCCTCCATGGAGTAACTCCCTCCCGGGGAAAGTGGTTTCAGCCATGAACCACAGAGAAGCCACCAGAAAGAAAGTGTGAATGGCCCCAGGTTACCTCTCATCAGGCCAGGGACGGCCCCGCCCCTCTTCCTCAGCTCTCCGAAGCAGCCATCGCAGACCTTGGCCATGCGGTCCTTGAGGTACTTCAGTGGGTACTTGTTTCTCGAACAGTTCCGGCACACGATCTGCGGGCCCAGGCGGGACACGTGTCTGTGTGCTTCTCACCCTCCCAGTGCATGCAAGGAAGAGCCGTGTCCCCTGCTCCGGGGAGCCCCACACTTTGATTGTGGGACTGTGCCATGCCCCCTGCTTTCCCAGTGCAGCCTGTGTTGTGTCTCTGAGCAAGTGGCTGCCTATTTTCCTGCTAAGTCTATGCCCTTAACCACCGCACCATACTTTTTTCTCTAAGAATGGTAACCACATATATCACAATTTTCTACTGAAAACCTGGTGTGTAGCAGAATGGGCCTGGAACTTGGAGCCTAGGTTTGAGGGTATCAGTAAATTGTGTGAACACACCCCACTTTGGGTCTGAGGCTCAGTAGCTTCTGCATGCCCCAAAGCCCTGGCTGGACAGAAATGCACCCTTCCCCTTCCCCACCCTTATGCACACACTCACCCCACACCAGGCGACTCACCTTGCCACAGGCATGGCAGTGATGGCGCCTCAGGGTGAGGGAAAAGTCGCAGCCGCAGTTCATGCACATCATGACGTGTGTGACTGGCACCAGGGTAGGGGGCCTCTCTCCCAGGCTAACCCCCAGTCTCTCCCGTATCTGGAGCAATGGAATGGGCTGAGCAGTGGGGCAGGAGACCAGCCCTATGTGGGCCTGGCAGCCCCAGCCCTGCTTCTCTGAACGGGGATATGTGTAGGGTGGGGTAGATTCTAACTCTTAAAATCTCTGCATCCTCCACCAAGGATCCTCCAAAGATCTAACCTTGGGTTGGAGACACAGCCAGACTGTGAGGTTGTGGCGAGGGTGCTGTGCTCCTGGAATGCCCAGAGGCTGCCCTGACTGGGGTGGGTGGGAGGATGGCAGGTAAGGGGGACCCAATACCCCAAGGACATAAGCCATACACCACCCTCTTGGGTGTAAGTGACCATAGTGGTGGCCGCTCAGGGAAACCCAAGGCTCTAAGGCAGGTGTCAGGGTGGCCCTGCCCTCCCACTCACCTCCACGCTGTGGTGGAATGCAGCCAGTGCCTGGGCCTTGTAGTCCTCAGGGAGGGCTCTGCTCAGACAGCCATACCACTCATCTCTCTCCGCACAGGAGCTGCGGCATGGGCTGGAGTAAGCAGAGGCGCGCGCACACGCACACGCACACATGCACACACACACACACGTACCTGCAACTGCCTCCCAACCTCAATCTCAGTGTGGGTGAAATGCTTGCCCAGCAGATAACCACGGGCATGTTAGTTGTCCTCTGGGCCTCCCCTGACTCCCAGAGCTGCTGTGGGGATGAAATGAGATGTGGGAAGTGGACCCCCTGTGTCAATGACAAAGCACCTTGCATTAGCAAGGGCCATTAGGAAGGCCTAGAGGGTCCCATACTCCAGGAGGGGCACAATGGCAAGGAACATAGGCTGGTTCCTTCAGGGGGCAGGGGTGGAAGGAACCCAACTGTTTTCCCACAGAACTTCTCACTCACTCAGGGTGCCTGAGTGGAGAGAGCTGTGCCTGGGTGTGGGATGCTCCGAAGGCCAGCAGCTGGGTGGAAATTCTCAGAGTGCCCACCAGGTGTCAGGCTTCCCACGCACATGAGTGTGTGCTGGCCCCAGGAAAGGGGGAGAAGGGAGCAGTTTGGACCAGGAGGGTGGGGGTAGAGGCTGACCAGCGTGATGGGGAACTGAATGCCATGCCCCTCAAAGAAAAGTAAGGAACCACACCTACGGTGCATCTTACAAGGGTACATGTGAAATTTACTAAATGTAGAATATGTCTTAACACAATAACTAAGAAAATGCCACGAAGGCTATGCTAACCAGTTTGATGAAAATATTTCAAATTGTATATAAAACCAGCACTTTGTACCCCATGATCGCATTAATGTACATAGCTATGATTTAATTTTTAAAAAAAAAGGAAGAAAAGAAAGAGTTCTTCTGGCCCCTGGGAGCTTCCATGTGAAGGAAGGATCTAGCAGGAGGGTGACTAGCCTGTCAGTAATGGTGGCTCCTCAAAGCCACCGGCCAGAAGCCAGTATCCCTGCCCGGGGAGATGGGCAGCCCCACCTAAAGGCCCAAAAGTGGCCTGTCACCACCCTCATGTCACAGCTGGGCAAACGGAAGCGATGCCCCTGGCCTCATTCTGCTCCTGATTTTATCCAGCAGAGAGGAGAGGCCATAGAGGTCCATCCAGGCATCACCTTCTCCAGGAAGCCTTCTCTCACCCCCTAGGGGAGTAATCATGCCTTTGAATTTCCAAGGCTTCTTCTACTGCCCTAGGCTTGAACCCCACTTCTGCCTGCCATGGCTGTGAGCCCCTTTCCAGGCCTCAACTCCCTGTGCATGGAAGGAGCTGTAAGCCCTGCCTCCAAGGTGGGTGATGAGGACTCCCTGGGACCTGGCAAGGAGTCAACGTCTGTCACTGCTGTCATGACCACCATTAATGACTACAGCAGTCACCATTCTGCGTTAGAACCAGTCTATAACTCTCCCACCCTTATAAAGTAGGAACTTCAAGGGCTAAATAATCTGTGCCCTCAGCTTACAACCTGGCACTTTTAATGAGCAAATTAACATGAATCCAGTGTGTGTACACCCCACTCATACCCCGAAGCACCCCTCCAAGTGTAGGACAAAAGACAGGTCCAACTGCCATCCCAGGGTCACACACTGGCTAAGAATCACAGGAACCCTCCTCCACTCCCACTTGTGCCTATCTCTGGCCCAAGAGCCACCCTTCCTGGTTTCTGAGTCCCCGTAAGTGAGCTTGTGGTCCTCTTGCTCTGAAACGGGAAGGAGCATGCCCTTTAAAACCATGGCCTAAGTCAGCCATGAGGATCCTCAGGTAACCCAAGAGCTTAGAGAAAATGCAGACATTTCTGACAGAAAGGCCACATCCTCTGCTGTGGCTGAATGTCTGTGCCCTACACACCCCTATTCATATGTTGAAACCTCATTCCCAATGTGATGGTATTAGAAGGGGAGGCCTTTGGGGTGTGATTAGATCATGAGGCTGGAACCTTCCTCAATGAGATTAGTGCCCTTCTGAGAAAGGCCCCAGCACCTTGCAGACCATATGCGATCACAGTGAGAAGGGATCATCGATGAACCAGGACACTGAATGTGCTGTCACCTTGCTCATGGACATCCCAGCCTCCAGAATGAGAAATTTCTGTTGTTTGCAACCCACCATTTTGTGATATTTTTGTTATAGCAGCCTTGAGTGGACCACAACATCCCCCATACAGAGAAAGATAAATGATGAATGTTCACTCATTATTTTTTCTCACCTCAGACATCAAAATGTTAAGGCAGACCACTTTATGAACTGCGGGGCATAGTATGTTTTTTACTTGACTTTTTTTGTATTGTTATAAAGATACCATCATCTAGAAGATTTTTTAAAACGTGAGATATTTTAATTGTTATATTTAAGCAGTGGAGTTTAGAAACCCCTGAAGTTACATATAACATTTTATATGAGTATGTGCATTTTTCTAGGGAAGAGAAGCCATAGGTTTTTATTCTTAATCCCCAAATGGTTACGAAACACTAACGGAAAATAAAGGCCTTTGATCCCATAGGACACTAAAATAAAAAAGACACAGCCAGCTTCTATTTATTCCAGACGCTCCTACCCTCATGTTTCTGCTAAGTTTACCTCCCTCCCACCTCCCGGTACCTTGCAGACAGCATCAGGCAGGACTCGGAAGTCTCGATCTTCAGGGCATAGGGCACTTTCTCCATCACAGGGCGGCTGACCTAGAAAACCAACAGCAGCCCCCCTTCAGGATAGGACAAGCACAGACCAGCCTCTCCCGGTGGCAGAGGGACAAAGGCGCCAGTTCCACCCTTAGCTGTTCCCTTAGCCTCACTTTCCTCGTCTGTAGAGGACAAACATTTATGTGTTGCAGGTGCTATGAGAGGGGCCAGCTGCTGGCTCCATTGTCCTTGGCCACTCATCCAGCCCTAGGAAGGACTCAGAGCGTCAGGCCCAGAGGCCAGCCTGGTTACCTGCTGAGTGCACCACTGTGCTGGGTAAGCACATGCCCAGTGACCATGATGTCCCACCGCCTTCTCCAACAGGTCCTCAGTAGAGAAGGCGCTTCCTTCTTCCCCTTCCCTGTGCTCAGGAGCCGACAGGATCAAGAGAGACCCTACAATGCCTCTGACAGCTCTGGCCACCCCCACCTCTGCCCTTGGAAATGACAACCACCTACCTGCTCTGGTGGTCCACCTCAGTGTTCTCCTCTCTGCCCCCAGCCCTAAGATGTACCATTATTAACTTTCTTTTTTTTTTAACTTTTTTTTTTTTTTT